TTATTTCTAATGAGATTGAGATATGTGCTATATAAATATTCTCATATTATCTATGAAAACTAATTTAAAGTATCAATTCCAATTATTTTAATAAAAAAATCTTTCATAAATTCTCTTTTATCTAATTTTTGAGCATACACTTGAAATATTTGAATTTGAGGTGCAAAATTTGTGAACAATTCTTTGAAGTAAATCTTCTAATGTTCGTTTGTCATAACGGTTTTGAGACCGTCAGACGTAAAATGAGTTTTAAAATCGAGAAAAATAAAAAAAGATGGAGTTGCCACCAATCTTTGTTAGGGTGTGATTGGTCACCCAAATGCTTATCCTTTTAATAAAACTATAAAAATGGATTTAAAGTTTATCAAAAAGATAAATTTCGGTCTATGAAAAATCAGGTTGGATCCGGGTGTCGGTTATGTGTGGGGAAGGATTAGCACCCCCACAACGCCCATAAATTGGCATCATTTAATTACGCGCTATTTTCGGTGTTGGACAAAAATGGTTTGAATATGAAATTTAACACTAATTCCCTTCATTTGAAAAAAATAAAATTTTGCTAAAATATTTATTTAGAACTATTGAGAAAATCTTTAAGTTAAAGAATTATCTTAAAATTCTCCATTCATCTAGGCAGAATTTAAAATAACTCTTTTCACCTAAGATTTAACATAATAATCCTTAAAATGAAATAACAATCTTTATAGAAAATAATTGTTAGTGACTCTCCAACATCTAGGCAGAGTACCAAAAATTATTTCTTTCGGAATGTTATTTTTAATTTATTTTATAATACCACAAAAAGATTTTTTTTAAAAGTATTATTCCTTTTTTTTTACTATAAAATATTTTATCATCGAACAACAAATTAAAGAGAGAATAATGCAATCAATTATCGATGATAACATGCTAACATATGTATGCTAATGAATATCATGTAAAATGAAATGCAATGTAAAAGTTTTGTTCTTAAGTATAATGAGATCATCCCGACTCTCCAACATCTAGGCAGAGCTTAGGTGCGACTGTTTATATTTAAGATCCTAATTTACTATTATACCTTTTATTTATTAATTTTATTATTAATGTTAATTAAGAACTCGTGTGAAAAGACTTAACGAAGTAAAATTTCCTAAATATCCCATCATCTAGGCGACATTCGGGAACAAATTGCTTCAAATAAAATTTTCACACGTATCCTTAGAAATTTTTAGGACTTTGGATTTTAAGAGGTTTTGAATTTTAGGGGATTTTGGATTTTTAGGGGTTTTAAAAACTTAGGATTTTGAAAATTAAAAATTAGTGTTTAAGGTTTAAGTAAAACGCGAACATCTCTAAAAATCCCCTATCATCTAGGCGAACTTTCGGAGTAAGTTCAATTTTTTATAATTTTTGAAAACTAATTAAAAATTTCTTATGTGTTTTTTTTTATGAAAATTTATTCATAATAATTCCCTAACATCTAGATGGAATTATTTTTTTGAAAAAATATTTTTTATTCCCTCTAACATCTAGGCAAAGAAAATAAAAAGCTTACTCTATTATTATTATTATTATTTAAACATTTTTAATATATTTTTTTAGTTATTATTTTATATTGTTTTCATTTTATTATTATTAATAACAATTAGATATTTATCCTAATGAATTTAAACATTTATCATGCATAAATATAAAATAATAAAAATAATAATATATAAAAAATTAGAAAAGATTTTTTTACCTGAACGGACCGGTTAAAGGTCTGGTCAACGCTGGTCCGGGCGGTCTGACCGGTTCGGTGGTTCGATTGACGGTTCGGGCGACTAGCAGTTCAGATCGGTTCACTAGCGGTTCGTCTGAACTAGTTCAAGGCTGGCTGAAGCGGGTTGTTGGGTCGGGTTGAGCGAATCTCGGGTCTGGTTTGATCCACGTGCGGATCCTCTACGCTTGAAACGGCGCCGTTTTGTTCCTATGCTCAAAACGACGTCGTTTTGGTCCTATGTTTTCTATAAAAATCAAATTTTATTTTTTTTCCTCAGTTTGTTTCGTTTGATAGAAAAAAAGGCTCTGGGGGGAAGGGTTCTCTAGTCTTGCCAGAATCCGACATCGTGCTTGCGTCGATCACCGTGTGAGTCGCCGCCGGTGATGGTCATCGGTGACCAAAAAATGGTAAGAAAGTCACCAAAATTTTTTTTGGTCGCCCTCTTTCCCAGATCCGACCTTCACTTGGCCTGAAAGTGGCTTGACCGTCGTAAATTTGTCTTCAAAGTTTCGGATCTCTCATCTTTTCTTTCTTTTTTTTTTGTTGTGAACAAAAACTTATTTGTTTTCCTTCTTGCAGATAGCTTGGCGTTGGGTTCCTCCCTACGGGAGGACTATGTTTATTTTTTTTATGTTTTGTGTAGATCTGTTTCGTTTTCGATTTGGGTGTTTTGGGGGGTTTACGTGAAATTTGGTTTTTTGTGTGTGGAAACGGAGGTCTGTCTGGGGCTGTTGAGGGTGTTTTGAGGGGGGGAAGAGTTCGTCTGAGCTTGATGGTTTTCATGGGTAGATTGAATGGGTCTTTTTTTCTTTTCAATCAGAGAGCTGAGAGAGCTTGAAGGGGAAATGGTTGGGGATTTTAAAAGGCTTCAATTAGGGGGATCTGGGTGGCTGTAGGGTGGCTGTAGGTGGGCTGAAAGGAAGCTGGTAAGGGGGCGTCAGGGGGCTAGTCAGGAGGCTGATAGGGGGCAGGTCGGGAGGCTGACAAGGGTGGCAACGGCGTCGTACCAACCCCTGGTTTTTGTCTCATTTCCTTTCTCTTTTTTTTTATAATTTTTTAATTTAATTTAATTTTTTAATTATTATATATTTTAAATATTTATTTATTTATTATTATTATTATTAATATAAAATTGAAATGGACATAATAGATCCGGACAAAATCGGTGTCTACATCGTTACATTAGAAAGATGAAAGAATTAGTGAAAGACAGACAAAAGCCCAATCATCCTTTTTTTATGGAGTTTCGCTTCACTTTTCTTTTAATTTTTTTCCTAAATTATTCAACCAATAAATAATAGTGTAATAGCAAGAGGAATGCATGGGTTTAAAAGATGTAAATTAGATTTGATAATCTGTGTATTTGTATTATATAAAATATTAATATTTATATATTTGTATTATTTTTTACATAAAAATTATGTATTATAATTCGTGTCAGATATGAAAATATGAAATATATTTTTTTAATTTTATTAAATTCATATGAGTTTTTGCCTAAATTTTAAACTATCTTATTTTTCATATCTTTTATTCGTATCATTTTATATTATATTATTATATCATATTTTAAATTATTAAGTTTAATAAACTTTAATTTCTTTTGACTTATTTTTTATAATTATTTTATTTTTTTATTTTTTTTATTCATAGTTCTGTTCTTATTCAAGGGATTAGATTCTAATCAAATTATGCCCCATGAGATGCAAGATTTAATGACCAAACAAAGAAAGAGTTCACGAATCAAAATCCATTTTTTTCTCCTTCCTTTATTTATCCTAACATATATATATATATAAAACCCTCAAATTTCAGTAGAATACAACAAAATTTTTATATCATAATAAATTTAGTACTTAAATTTTTTAAAACTAAAAATTTTATATTTACTTTTTTAATATTGAATTTGTTCAATTTGTCAATGAGTACTTCAATTAAAGTATGAAAACATTTCATGCAATTCTTGTGCATCTTATCTTTAGCATATTTGGAAGTTTATTTAGACTCTAAAATATTTTGATAAAAGACTAAAAATCTAAACATCTATGAGTTTTCATTTTTTTTATTAATATATTTTTATTTATGCTTGTTGCAGGACTCTCATTTTGATTGAAGTTTGTTGAAAATGCTGTGAAAAGGTCTACTCTTTTCACTTTTCTTACCAGTAATTTATGGAATTTTTATTTATTATCATTGGAAAATTTTGTTTCAATGGTTTTTGTAGTGCTTTATTACTCTTCTGACTCAGATATTAGGCTTTTGTTGGGTTCTTTATCCAACATTTTTTCTCTTGGATTTCCTCTATGTTACTGTCATTGTGCATGTATTGCATGTTTACAATTTGTTGTTATTATTGAATAAATGTTCTTTATTATTATTATTATTATTATTTTGTAATTATGATTTAGTTTTGTTAGTAAATTAATGTGTAGCTTGTCTCCTAGATTGCATGCATGAGGTGAGTTTCTCTGTTTCAGTTGTATAGAAAATATTGCATGAAGCTTTATTATTATTAATTTTATATGAAATCAGTGTTCATAAATCTCAGAAAAGAAACATGTTAATGGGGGGTTTATCTTTAGTCTTCAATGAATCCAAGGCTGGGGGGAGATCCATACTGTGTTGTTTTTATCAAAATATGCTGTTTTAGTCGCGAAAAGTTTGAATTGTTGGAACAATTTTAAGATTTTTTATGGAAATTCGAAGTGATTCTTTCATTGTTGGGAAAAAAATTAGAGGCTATTTTTTTTCATAGAAACACAAATAGATAGATTTGTATTGAAATATGTTCAGCCATGATTTCTTGGTTTTTTATTCCTATTGTAATTAGCTAATTCAACCTGTTGGCCATGATTTTGGGTCATGTTGCTTTGCTGGATTTATACATGTTGAATGAGTATTATTGATGTCCACATTACCTATGTTTGATAAGAAACATGATTGTGACTGCCACATTTTCTCCGACAATAGCTCGATAGCTTCACTAAATAAGATACATGATTGTTGGCTAGGATATTCCTAAAGAGGAAGGGTGTTCAACATGGCCTTAATGACCTGCAGTGGTGTTGAGAAGGCAACATTCTTGCTTGATGATTTATGAAGTTGAATATTTGCCTTTTGACATGTTTGTTAAACACGGTTGTGCTTTGTACCAGCTTGGTTGTATAGGGCTATAATGTACCTGCCCTTTTGTCTTCCAGGAAAGAAACAGTATTAAGATCTGTGGAAAAAGTAATTTCTTTGCTGTAAATTTGTGATGGATCAAGACAATGACCAAGAGAATAAATCTGATGCATCAGTAGATGTTTCGCTGAAGCACAGACGTGGTCTTCCGAGGAAACATCTGAAATATAATCTAAAACAGGGGGAGAATCCAAATCTGAACTGTGTAGGGAATACCCGTATCCGACCTAGATTTGAAGGGTTGAACGGAAATCAACCCCGTCAAGCAAATTCAATCAATGATGCAAATGATATAATGGTAGGTCATTCTGTTTATAGTATTATTGAGGCAGCATTTGTTGCAGGATATTTGCTCACTGTTAGTGTTGGCAACTTTGACACCACTTTAAGGGGTGTGGTTTTCAAGCCTGGCCATTTTGTTCCTACTTCAGCTGAGAATGATATGGCACCAAATGTTCAAATGATCAGAAGAAATGAGATTTCCTTCCCAAGGGAGAGGAATGAGCAGCATGTCAATTCTCGTAGAAATGGATCTGCTCATTCATTCAATGAACCAGCTGTTGTCAACCAGGTGCCTCCGACCTGGTTTTCAAATCTTGAAGGCTCAAAAAGCAAACATGTGCAGTTGATGTCAACACAATCTGCTTCTCCACTAATGACCAGAGGCATTGTGGTGCCTGTTATGCTCCAAACTACTAATTTATCAAACCGCGAATCAATTTCCAACCAACCATATCTGGTTGTAAGCCAACCAGCTTATTTGGTGGCCTCTAAAGGCAAACAAGTGTCTGAAGTTGTTGATACATCAAATGAGAGAAAACCCACCAACCAGATGCCAACAGTTAGAAATCAAATATTTCCTACTTAATCTCTAAGTAGTAACCACAGCATGCCAAAAGGCATACAAAGTGAAACTGTTTCATATAATCAACCCGCAACAGAGTTTTTGCTAGAGACAGAAGCCATATCAATGATTGGCATGCCTTTTGAGAAACTATTAACTATAGTCATGAAAAGAACTCAAGTACCTCCACAACCATCGGAGGCTCAAGGTGGTAATTTTTTGGTCAAAGATTCTGGACACAACCTGGAAGATGAACAGCCATTCTCTATTGAACCAATGCAAGTTGTACAACCTGCTCATTCTTCTTCTGTGCTCAAACATTTGGAAAATTTTCGAATTGGAAAGATGACTGAGTTGCTGAAGGTATAATAATTTTGAACTAGAATTTTATTTCCATTTGACTAATCTATTATGCCCTGAAGTTTGACATAGACTGATACACTGCACTCCTCTTCAAGGCTGTTCGAAAAACAAGAGGGAAACCCAAGCATCTCGCACTGAAGAGCCAGCCATTAGATTTGGAGAAACTTAGCATAGAGATAAAAAAATGCATGATTCCAACAAGCATTCACAGGTTTCGAGGGTCTAACTCAACAGGCATTTTACTAGCAGGTTTTAGGCTAGCTCGCATTTTGTAGAGTGTTTTAGTTGAATCAGATAGATTCTGTAAATTGTTTTAGATCCTAAACTAGCCGAATAAGCTAAATGATCCCATGACGGTTATGACCTTAAAGCACAAAATGCTGTACGGGATCTTCTATCCTTTAAGCTGAGGATCAAAACTGATACCATTACTTGGAATTAAAGCTTTTTTTTTGTCACTTCACAGATTTATAGAAAATCTATCTTCATTTTACTTTATGCTTTGTCATCATTTAGCGTCCATTTAGGAGTCCGACTAGAGGGCTCCCCATAGCGTATTTTATGGTTGGACACTTAGTAAACGACCCTTACTAAAATATATGCGGCTTCCTTATATTAAAATCATCTAAACATTTGTGGAACACATGCTAATGGGTATATGATGGCTAAACAGATTATGAGAGCAGGTTACTACTGGTTTACTATGAAAAATGATTTCATCAATTATGCAAGAAAGTACCATAAATGCCAAATTTATGTAGATAAAATTCATTCCCCTCCAGTCTCACTACATGTCTTGGCACCACCATGACTCTTCTCTATGTGGAGAATGGATGTGATCAAACCCATAATCCCAAAAGCTTTAAATGAGCATTACTTTACCTTTGTGGTAATCGATTACTTTACCAAATGGGTAGAAGCAGCTTCGTACGCTAGTATAACATGATTAGTAGTGTGCAGATTCATAAAAAGAGAAATAATATGTCAGTATGGGCTCCAATAAAGGATCATCTCAGATAATGCTAGCAATTTAAACAATAAAATGATGAAAGAATTGTGTGCACAGTTTAAGATAAAGCATCATCATTTAGCACTATATCGCCCAAAAATGAATGGTACAGTGGAAGCTACGAATAAGAACATCAAAAGAATATTGGAAAAATGACTGATACATATAGAGACTGACATCAAAAGTTACCTTTTGCCTTACTTGCCTATAGAACATCAATTCGAACCTCTATGGGGGTTACCCCATTTTCGTTAGTGTATGGGATGGAAGTTGTACTACCGATTGAAGTAGAAATTCCTTCCCTAAGAGTTTTGATGGAGGTAAAATTAGATGAAACAGATTGAGTTCGAGATCGTTTCGAGCAACTGAACCTTATTGAAGAGAAAAGGCTCTCGGCACTTTACCATGGGCAAATATACCAAAAAAGAATCATGCGAGCACATGATAAGAAGATATAACATCGATGCTTTTGTGAGGGTGAATTGGTTTTGAAAAAAGATTTTGCCATATCAACTTGATATTAGAGGAAAATGGATGCCTAATTAGGAAGGTCTATATGTGGTAAAAAAAACATTCTTTGGTGGAGCTCTGATCATTGCAGAAATAGATGGTGATGAATTACCAAATCTTATGAATTCAGACACTATCAAGAAATATTTTGCTTAAAAAAAGATGCAAAAAAAAGAAAAAAAAGAAAAAAAAGGGAGATGAGTTAAACTGAAAACCTGAAAAGAGTGGTTTGAACCAAAAAAGGGTCATTTAAGCTGAAAACCTGAAAGGTAGCTTAAATGAAAGTGAAGCTAGGAGAAAATCCTTCAAAGAATGAAGAAGTGGCACCAAATGGACAAATCTTTACCAGAATTAAGAGAGATGACTTTTAAAGGGCAAGTTTTCATTAGTCACAGATATGGGGCAATGATTGGTTATATGAAATCAAACGTGACAAGATCGTAAATGTAATGAGTTTTTGGAAAAGACTTGGTTTGAGTAGGCCAAGGTCGTTCAAATGTTCATTATCTAGAGAATTGACATTTGATTTTTGAAATACTTTTGAGTTAACTGTTCTTTGTGTCTCAAAATACTTATCTTTATCTTTCTCAACCCAAAATACCCCATTACTAACCATGTTTCATACTCAACCTTGAACCTGAAATCATTGCATTTGTCATTTAAAATTAAGATAATGATTGATAAAGTTCATAATAGACTAATACATCACTCGAAAAGAGAATGCAATATATGAATGACAGAAATAATAATACAGGGTCAAAAAGAATGAAATGAAATTGATTGATCATTGAAAATAAAGAAAAGAGATGAGATAAAGAAAGAATTCAAAGAAGATTTTAGAGTAACTAAAAGCCAAATAGGTCCATCAGAAGATGGAGATTTCTAGACGAAAATCGAAAGACTTAGAAGGACGAGCTATTGGAAATGACTTTTAAAGTTTGAAAGAATTAAACCAAAAAGTTTAATTAACTTGGCTGGAAACGCATGATATAATTCTTTGATTACATTTTTGTCTTTTCATTCATCATAATCATTGCATACATCTCATACCTCATGATAAGTTCCATAAAAGGTTCTTTATGAGACATTAGGAAGAATTAGCAATTTTTTTTTTCCAAACAAAGATGATGGCCTTGAAGATGATATGTTATCTCTAGCACGATTCTTAAAATCGAAACTGTCAATCTATAGAGTGAGCAACCCCTACTTTTCAACTTATAGCTTAGTCTTGGTCACATTTATTCTCTCAACTCGTGGTTTAATCCTGATTGTCATTATTTTCTTGAGTCGTGGTTTAGTCCCAGTCGTCTTTATCCTCTTGACTCGTGGTTCAGTCCCGGTTGTCTTTATCTTCTTAACTTGTAGTTCAACCCCAGTCATTGTGATTTCTTGACTCGTAATTTCATCTCGATCATCATTATTTTCTTAACTCATGGTTTAATTTTAGTCTTTGTTATTCCTCTAGACTCGTAGTTCAACCCCAATCCTCATTAATCCTTGACTCGTGGTTCAATCCTGATCTTTTTACTTCTAAGTCATGGCTTAATTCTGATCCCTATTATTTCTCTGACTTGCGGTTTAATCCCAGTCTCTTTATTTTCTTGACTCGTAGTTCAATCTCGATCTCTTTACTTCTAAGTCGTGGTTTAATCTCAATCCTCATTATTTCTTTAAGTTACGATTTAATCTTAGTCTCTTTATTTTTGGACTTGCAGTTAAATTTCGATCTCGTTATCCATCGACTCACGATTTAATTTCGATCATCTTAATTTTTTGACTCATGGTAACAAAGAAAAAATAACAAAAACAAAAAAAAAACAAAGCAAAATTTTTTAGTTTCAGATAAAATTGACGTCTTTATCTTTACCCTATTACTGATTCTCAGTAATGTGCAAAGAAAGGCAGCTGTAGACACCAAATTTGTTCGATTTTTAGTTAAGTCTCGTTTTAAAGTGCATTGGGGTATTGGATTTTTAGGCTCAGGCCTATTTCAATTTGACTGGGCCTTAGTCTCGATTTTGGCTCAACTAGGCTCCAAGGTTTGATTTTGACTCAATTAGGCTTCAGGCCCAATTTGATCCAATTAAGCCCGAAACCCAATCTCATTCTTAATCTCAAAACATATATTTTTTTTTACTTTAATATTTATTAATTAAACAAAAATTACAATTAATTAATAAAAAAGACAAAAAATAGGGGATTGGTATACGGCACCGCTATCCAGTCCCATCAGACCAACCATCTTAGTCCCATCAGACCAGTGACCCTTGTGACCTAACCAGACCAACCACCAGACCAATCTCATCAGACTAACTACGCTTATGACCTAACTAGACCAACCACCCTTTCACCAAAGCTCTATAGCCGCCCTACAAACACCTACAGCCACCCCTACAGGCCCTAAACCACCCACTGTCCCGAACATATACCCGACCTTATAAAGAACCCAGTTTCTTCCCCTTCCAAGCTTTGGGACACATCTCAATTTCTAAAAACACAAAACCTTCCACACCTAGAAGCTTAAAACCATTCCTAGAAACCCAAACATTTCCCCATCCCCACCTATAAAAAAATAAAAAAACCCAAAATAGATCCATAAAAATAAAAAAAATAAAAAAAATAAAAACACAGTCCTCCTCGTAGGGAGGAGATTCAGCGTCGAAGCCACCTACAAAAAAATATCATCAGTTAATCTTAAAAAAAAACATAAAAAATTTTAAACCTCGATCTACGTCAATCGAGGCTATTTCTCGCAAAAAAGGATAGCGGATTTGAGCTCAGAAGGTCGAAATGAGCTTTTCGATGAATTTTAAAATTTTTTGATCATTGGCGATCACCAACAATGACCACCTATGGTGACCCATACGGTGACTGACGTGACAACAGTACACTAGACTTCGATGAAGCCAGAGAAAGCTTCTGAATTGAAAACTTTTTTTTTTGAGAAGTGAAAAAATGAGTTAAAAAAAAGGTTGGCTTTTATATAAGAAAAACAAAGCCTAAAACAACGTCGTATTGGACTCAAGAGGATTCATGCGTTTACCCGAACCCGACCAGAGATTTAAACAATCGACTTGGTGACCCATCCCTCAACCAACCCTGAACCGACTCAGTCAAACCATTAGTCAAACCGCCACTCAAC